TTATGACACCCACAATGCTGAGCTGAGGACAGCTTTAAATATTACATTTTTAAAGGGGTAATCCAGTGATTCAGTACTGCACTTCCTTAAAGTTGACTTTTAGTTCCTACTACGGGTCAACCTCCAAAAACACCGTTCCCATAATGAAACCCAATTCATCGATCTTTCTATTGCCCAAATATTTCTCTATACCACAGTTTGTAATTTAAGCTTTCTGTCCTAAATTTGTAGTAGTCGAAATAGCCCTGATGACATTCACTATGATATTATCAGGGTTATTCTCAGATTCAACAAAGCTCGCCTAGAGCAACGTAGGACATGCGACTGTTTTCAAGGGCTGAGTAATACTTCCCATGATGAGTAAGCTGATCTTTATGTGTGAAATCAGTGGAGTGTCCCTTTAATGGATGAACGAGCAGTGATTGTGGTGAGAACAGTAGAGCAGCAGTCTCTGAAGAGGCTCCACAGAGACTTTGTTGTATCACCACTTGTGGTCTGAGAAAGTCCAGAATCCAGTTACAGACCAAGATCAGCTGTTTTTTTATAACTAGCTAAATGCTAGCTTTTTACTCAGCACATTATTTCCTGAGGAAGACACAGAATCATCAGGGAACACCCCATATGCAATATTTAAAGGATTATTTTTTACATGTTTTGACCATAAAAAGCATATATTCAACACAAAATAACCTGTGAAAATCATAGTCAGATGACAAATTATGTAATTCAGTTGATGCACAATTAAAGATTTCAGTCAAGAAACCAAAGCTAGCCAGCTATAGCTATTCTACAACTGCTTTAGGTTGACTCCATATGTTGTCTGATGAAGACAGTAGAGTTGAAACGTCTGTTTGCGCAGTTAAAGGCCTCCTCCCTTTTCTCTGCTAGCCACCTACAGGACACTGCACAATATAATCAGATGATCAGTATGGAAAATAAAAATGTTTCCTTACAAATTGCTGCAGCAAGAGTTGAGCTAAGATGATCTTTTTCAATGTAAACTTGCATATCTGATGTGTCTTGCGTTACATATTTTCATATTTTGCACACAAAGCTCTCTGATTGACAATATTTCTGTTTGTAAGTACTCACCTTTAATTAATTTTAAAATCTGTGTATGCAGATGTTGCCTATTCTCAAGCACACAAAAAATAAACTAAAGTAAGTGAATCCTGCACAAAACTTCAGCTTCAACATCAGCAACACATTAGACACCAGCTCAAATGAGCTATTTGCAAAGAGCAGACGTTGCAGTCCATCAGAAACTGACAGTCACATAAGGATTATTTCTGTAATTGTTGTTTTATTGTTATTAATTACTGCGCTGAAGTCCAAATGTCAACTATTGTCTCTCGGGTGCAAGATGGACAGTAAGGTTTTTCAAATCTGAATCTTATTACAACAGTTGCGTCATTTCTCTGCGTGTTTGCACCACAGCTATAGCAGAAGTTCATTTGTCTTCTAAATCTGGAGACAATTAGATGCTGGAACAGAAATCAAAATGCCAGAGCTAGAATAATGTAGGTCTAAGGAAGACAGATTTCAGCTACACAATGGTATTTTGACAGGGAGCTGAAAGAAAGAAAATAGTAGAGAGCATGGAATTATAAGACAGAGCTCTCTCTTCCTCTCTCTCTCTGTCTCCCCCCATTTCCCACATCTGTAGAACAGCTTATTCTAGTGGCGGATGGGTGAGATTAACCCCTAATAAGACTCCACATTAACACCTCGCTGCTCTACTGTGTCTGCCTGTCTCTGCTATGACAGATTAGCTGCTGAAAGCCTTGCGGTGCACGGTAAAGCAACAACACACCTTCTTCAGGTCACAGAGCAGGGAAGAAGATAACCTTTGTATTTTAGCTTTGTTTTTACATCTTGGGTTTTTCCTTGGCACCCAAGTCTCTGTCTCATGTGCATGCCACACTTGCACACCATCACATATCCTCCTCCTTACATCTCTCTTCTAATGAGAGGCCCCTTGAGAGTTACACACACACGCACATACACAATCCCTGGAAGAGTTAGGCCGCCCTCAGCCGGGACACACTGACCTCCCCTGTGTGAGAGCAGGGACATACAGTGTTTTAAGAATTCATGGTGCATGGCTTTGAATGCAGTGATCCATGATAAAACAGGTCCATGTGGGCTGAGGGCGACAGGGAAAACAGGGGAACACACATTCAGATACACTCAAGAAAGAACCACAACATGTAAAGAAGCATGGAAACAAGGCAGAAAGACAAATACAAACACAGGTTTATAGAAAAAATGAACATGCAAATTCTTCTACAAGGAGTCACACCACCATGCACATGCCTCTGGGGGTTCAAAGATTCACAAATCATGACATTCATTTTCTCTCACACACATGCAGTCTGAAGTCTTCTAAAATGGCTTTTATGCATGCCTCCTGTCCATATGGGATCTGATAAACACACCAAGGTCTGTCCTGTTTAGTTGAATTAAGTCTCTGTATCTGTTAACACATGGTACCAGCCTTTCTCCTTTCATTTACTTCCTGCACAACCCCTCCTCTCGTCTACTCTACACCACCCCTCCAACACACACACACACACTCAGAGAGGGGTTGCCTCTGCTAGTGGTGGAAGTTATCCATCACATGTTTCATTCCCTCTCTCCGTGGAGCCCCTCACAATCACCTCATCTCTCCTCATCACATCTGCCAAAACATTTCTCTCACGCTTGCAGCACTGACGGTTTTCAAACGTTCCCCTTGTAAAAAACTTCTTTGACTTCACTGTATTGACATGATGTGTGCACTTTTGGGATCCAGCCATCGCCCCAAATCCCAGGATGACACTTCAGCATCATTTGCAATGCTCTTGAACAAAAGGCTCTGGTAAATATCATAAGTCTACGATGGTGGAAGAATTGAAACTAATGATTATTTTCATCATTATTATTATTATTATCATCAAATCAAATGTCTTTTTCAAATTCTCATGTTTGCAAGTGTCTGAAAATGACTCTGTTATATCAGTTTCTGTCAGTTGACTAATCAATTAACCAACTAATTGTTTCATCACTAAAGTGTTTTACCGTTCTGTTGTATAAACTAGCCATTATTCTACTTAATTTGTTTCTAATTTGGACAGTGATCTGCTACTATATTTCCCACAAACAGAAAACTAAAGCTGTTAAAGTGACAATTGAAGCAATTTAGTGCAACTCTTAGATTCAAGACTTCAGACTTTTATGATGCTTACTGAAGGTCTGACATCAACAAATTGCTGCAACAAAATAATATCTCTATGTTGATGCATCAAGTCATGTACATTTTGACATTTTTCAACAGGAATTTGAAAAATACACAACCAAAATAAATAAAAAAATAGAATGAACTCAGAAATGATGACTACAACTGTACAGTTTTATCAGTGTTAGGGTTTAGGGTGGATTCGCCTGTTACAGTGACATGAGTGAATTGGAAAAAGATGCACTTCTATGAAATCATAAATCAACACCACTGTGTCCAGCAAGAGCAGCTGAATAAGAAAACAGATATCTTTTTTTGAAAAAGATCCATTGGGTCTGTGAACCCTAAAGCTTCATAAGACAACATTGGATCAAGGCCGATATTATAAGATACAGAAAGATTTAAAGCTTCTCAAAATATGTTTTTGAAAACCTTACGTAAACCCAAACTGTGGTTTGAATTGTTTACAGACTGCCACAAGATATCTGGACTCAATCTCTGGACTGAATATAAATGCAAAAAATATTAATAGCGAAGGCCAAGCATGCAAAGTTCACTGGAAACAGGTACGATGTTGACCATGACATGGTAAATTCCTTTTCTGAGTTGCCTCGGCCAAATAATTTGCAATAAATGCTCCTGCCAGAGGTGCAAAAAACACAAAATCCTAAAATAAACGCTTCATTTGCTAATGAGGCAGTCAGTTTTATGGGTTTTGGCTGATATGTGGAACTTAAACGCTCTAATGTGCTCAGTAAAAATAAGATAAATGAGACAGACAAATGGAAACTATGCCTGACATTTATTTTTGTGCCAGTGTTTGCCTGAACTAACATCTAACATTCATAAATCCACAGCCTATTGGGTAAGTAAGTATAGTGAAAGTGTCTCACACTCCTTATCATATATTATCAAGACTGTATTAACAATGTCTGACATTTAGAGTTAAATTTAACTATCTTCAGTCACAGAAGTATTAAATTGGATTAATTTTGGACTGATGGCAGTGCTGCAATGTTGTATTGACTCCAGCCAGTTAGTTAATACTTAAAGATCAAGAGTTATTGCAAAGCTTCTGTTAATGCTTGAATACTTTAATGAACCAGGAAGCTATTGAAGAAACGTATTATGCAATATTAACAAATAGTTCCCAGAAGAATAATTAAACAGAACATAACAGAAAAGTCATACTTACGTTGTCACCCAACAAGCAACCAGAGCAGTTTTAGCAGCCAGTGGTGTGTGCTGCCCTCTAGTGGCTTCAATACAACACAAACATCTAATGAGCAGAATGAACAGTGAGAAAGGACAGAGCCACAAACACAAACGAGGGAGGATTTGTGAGCAATATATTGACTGTTCCACAATAATGGATTAAAATGTTTATGTGAAATACATGTTTTTATAACTATTTTCCTCAAACCATTTTAAAGAGAAACTGGATGGTTTTAAAGTCGTTTTTATTTTGCATGCAAATGTTTATTGATAGAAGAAAAAAAATAAGTCTTGACAGAACGACACAAAACAAAAACACAAAAACATGAAAATCTTGGAGTCTGTTATACATGCAACCTACAAGCACATGCCATCAAAACTTCCATCTTAATGCAACTACTTTGTATTTACAATGTTTCTGAAGGCAAAAACACACTGCTGTTATACTTAGAATAATTTATACACAGAAAACTGAGTGACCAAAAATGCTCTCTTCTTTTATTGTTAATCTAAGGTTATAAGTCAAATGATAGGTTTCCAAAAAATGTTAAGAACAAATGCATGAAAATCACTAGGTGATTAATTTCTTTATTTGCAAGATGGTACGAAACTTAAAACACAAATGACGGGAACATCCCGGAGATCCTTCCTCCTCGCTTTATGAACTGTTCGCCTTGGATATGAAGCTCTTCAAAGTGTCCCTCAGCGTTTGTACAACGGCCTCATCCTCTTCCACAGCCTTGGAGCAGACACGCTGCACTCTGCTGTGCAGATCCTCCAGGCACTTCTGTTGTACATGAAGCACAGGAGTTAATGGGTTATAGATGAGAATCATAAATACACATACAGATACAGCATGAGTAATGCTGCTATCAGGCCAGGCATGCTTAGGAACAGCAAGAACAATATGTTAAATATGTTTAGACTAAGATAGTTATTATAGTGTACTACTAAATCTTTTCTGCATATAAAGCCTAAAGATATTAAGTCAATGATGGCTACAGTGACATCTGAAACAGTGAAATACTTCTTTTATGAGTCCTGTGCTTGTGATGTTTGCCCTGGAAAATAAACTAACTCTACTGAATTTGGGACATTCGTTTATTTGCATTTAGAGAACTCAGTGCAGTTCATTTAAGTAAATGTATTTCTTCTTTGAAGTACACTTGAGATGTAGATTCTTCCTTACACTACGAGGGGCAGATTCAGAGCTGTAAGAAAGTTACCTCTGTAATTGACAAGTGGTTGGTCGCTGTGGTAAACACAGACGCAAGGTTGTTAGCGACTGTTCGTCTCTCCTCATTGGTCTCCTGCAGCACCAGATGGTACCTGAGGAAGAGACCACGAGGGTTTTATTGTAAAAGAGTCATCGCTTACACTGACAGAAACAGAGACGTTGAGACATGAGGCCACATTGGAAGCAGCAAATGAAGCACAGCTATTGAGCAGTATTTTCAGGGCCATTTAAGAATCATTTGTTTAAATATAGTCCTAATAAATATAGTTAATAAATATACAATAGTCACTCACTGCTGCTGCGCTGCCTTCAGTTGTTGCACAGCCTCGTCGTAACCATAATTAACCTTCTTCTCGAGAAGCTTACGATGGTTCTCCACTGACTCCATCTCTTCTGCCCAGTCCCCTTCCTCTCGAGCCAGCTCCTAAACAGACACAAACACACAGCAAACTGTTGTTGGTACATGTATGACACAACTGTGTATTTGCTGTATGTGATGGTAAAATATTTACTTCCTACATTCCTGTTTTTTTAGCTTAGACGACAGAAGTTTCGATCAGTACTAAACTGACTATTATTAGAGGAAAATTGGCTTTATTAATCCCCAATGGGGATATTCTTTTTTTACTCTGGCAACTCTCCAGCCACCAGTCCACACTACATACAATGGTCTGTGCTGGACTTGAACCCTACCTTCCTGTTCCAAAGCCAGGTCTCTACAGACTGAGCTACGTTCACTCCCATCTTGTCTCAATCTGGTTAATTCTGCTCCATGTGTGCCAGCTGGTGTATGTAGTAATCTGGCATTTTATACAAACATCAAGCAGACTGAACTGTATGGACTATACCTGCATGTCGCAATCCAACCGTTCATCCAGCTTGCGAATCTGCTCTTTCAGCTGCTTTATGTCATTGGACTTGTCCATGATGTTGGAATTCACCTTAAAAGACAGAAAGACACACACACACACACACACACACACACACAACCATTAAATATGCCGCATTACAAGCAGACTAGATGATGATGAGTATTTATGATCTCAAACTATGACCGATTTTTGTCAAATTCAACTTTTCAAATAAAATCAATAAAAAAAAATGACAATTGTGATTTTAACAGAGATGCACTTGTGAGAACCTAATGAGAAAAATCTATAATTTTGTTACCTGTTCACAAGACTCCTCCAGGCTGAGTTTCATGTTGGCTAATCGACTGTTCTCCTCCTCCACATCACTGACCAGCTTTCTCAGGAGCATCTACAACACAGCAGAGATCAGAGCAAGCACACTGAATAACAAAATCTACTACACACAATAAAAACAAAATCTAATGTCCTACAAAATGTTAAATCGATATAAAAAGATGCATTTCCAAAGCTATAAGTAACTACATGGAGATGAGCTAAGCACTGGGATAGTAAGCTAGTCTTGTTCATACTGAACTAATATGAAAGTCTGCTCTTACACAAACGGTTGTGTGAACAGGATTATTAGCTGGAAATACCTGTATCTGTGTTCTATTCTGAACCATGCCGGATCCACATTCGAACGGCCTGATCTCAAAATCGTGACCACAGGCGTTCTCTGCAGACAGGGGTATCAGCTTCAGTTTACGAGCCAGTTTATGGTACTCTGTTAGCTTCAGCTCCGCCTGGGATTGAGGAAAATACAGGACGGAAAAGGACACAAGTCAAATCAACAGTCAAAATGTGTGACACTGGATTAAGAACATCTGCTTGCAGTAATGTATACTGACTAAAACTGGGTAGCAAAAACACACCGACACTATTAAATATTAGTTTAATCCCAGCTATTAAGAAGAAAATGATATCATGTCAAGAAGAACATTATGATAATCAAATGGTACTGTTGCTGCTCCTCTTTGCATACATACTAGATGTACATACAGTACCTTCTCTTTCACTTTGGCCAGAGCAATCTCCTCATTCCACTTATGCTGTTCAGCATCTTCAAGAGACTTGCTGAGACTGGAGATGGTCTGCTGGAGCTCCCTCTTCTCTCTGTTGATCCTCTCTACGTCAGCTGGAGTAAACTTCTGATTCTGCAGCCGGAGTTGCAGCTCATCTCGCTCATGTTTTAGAGACTCCAGATGACTGACTGCAGAAAGATGGAGAGGAAAAAACACCATGAATATAAAACGAGATCCAATCTGAGGTTCTGATTCGAAAGAGACGTTCAAAACTATTGTAGAAGATCCAATAAGCCCATTTGTAACCCAATAGCTGCTGCCATGTACCACTTTGAACCTGAATACAGTTTAGAGCTTTGTTGCTTAGCAGCTTTTTACTTGCACTGACTGACAGTAAGAAACTGAATATTGGCACTAGCAGTTTTACAAACACTGTAACTTATGGTCTCTGGTGGCTTATTAATTAAAACAGGAATGTGAAATGTTTTAAAATAGAATCTCAGCCTCAGTCGAGACACTAGTCTTGTTAACCCATAATAACAAGAATCCTCATGAGTGTGTGTATGTGGAAATGTGTAATTCCAGTTACTTCGTGAGTAGTAATTAGCAGTAGCACAGGCGTCTACATGGAGACTGACTCCTCAGATCCACACATGAGATTCCCACAGGATCCAGAGAATCCTGCTAAGGAACTGGCTGACTGACATGGTTACATGGTCACTGCCCTATTTACCAGTGTTCTCCAGCTCATCAGTCAATTCTGAAGCTTTGTTCTCGAGGTTGGCTTGAAAGGTATCCAGGCTGCTTCGATAACTCTGGAGTTTCTTCAGGTCTATCTGCAGCTTTCCCTTCTCCATCCTCTTGGTCGTTAGACGGTCCTGTCAAGGAGTAGGAGACAGAGAATGATCAGTCATCAGTTCCTTTTGTGCAGTCATTTACTTGTTTGACGGTGTCAAGTTTTCAAACTTTACACTTACAATTAGTGCAGTACAATTGCCCTCACTGTATATAATAAAATCAAAGTCTAATCTGTAATTATAGGGGTGTGTCAATGTAAAAGTCTTCTGACCATCTGGCTCTCCTTCTCCAGTCGTTCAACCTCATCAGTGAGCATTCTGTGCTTCTCCTCCATCGCAGTCAGCAGGGCTTCATCAACGTTGTAGAGCTTCTCTATGAGGAAAAACACACACATACACATGCCTCTTTATTGATTTTTCCAATATAAAAAGTTTTATTGGGAATTTTAACTTGAAAATCAAAACCTGAATTGAAACAACTAAATTAACATTGTGCTCAAATACACAAAAAAACAATTAATTATTAAAAAAGTAATACATTTCATAGAGACGCTGTGCTTACTGAGTTTAGTGAGGAATAGGTCATCCTCATCCTCAAATGTGTCATCGCCCTGCATGAACTTGGAGTATGTCTCAGCTGTGTAGTCCAGGAAGAGCTGCACAGGAACAAAGTGAAAGAGAAAATAAGAAAAAGAAAAAAAAAAACAACACACAACACAAAAGTAACTGTATGATGTTTGAGGACGTTGACTCTGGTCAAGTACCTTGTTATATTCCGCTCCTTCCTCGATATTGTCACTGTCCTCACCAAAGTCACTGAACAGCAGCTCCTGTTTACTCAAACTCCAGTTGATCTGTGACAGAATAAGCACAACACTGCTTTTAACCAATTTCATGATAACAATAATTCCTGTTAAAAAGCGTTGTTTGCTTCCCACCTTAACGTTATCAATGAGCCACATGAGAGCACCGAGGGCCTGTGGCCAGGTATGGGGAGCTCCAACAGAATACATTGAACACTTGGAGAGAACAAATGGATACCTTAAACCAGAATAAGGGAGAGAAATAAAGACAGAAATTGTCATCAGTGTTTCCCAACCTACAGACAAACAACATACTTATTAACACTAAAAGATTTCATTTCACCTCAGGGCTTTTAGGATAGCTGGAACCTCCTCCTCAACTTTTAAGTTTGGCATCTCAAAGGTTGGGTCTAGCTGGCGGTAGATGAACTCAAACATCTTCACAAACTCTTTGGTAGAGGGAGACTGAAGGGTCTTGGATGACAAAGTGCCTGGATAACCCTGCTCAGTCAAGAACTAGAAAAACGAGAGTCATCAGTCAGACCAACATCTATGTTACTTTTTGGTTAAGTTACAATTAAATTCCAAACAGTAGATATCAGTAGAAATAATGATATTTAATCAGTTCAAATGTAAAAATACAAATAAATAAATAAAACATCAGCTAATTTTAGTATAGTGGTGAGACTGTAAATGTAGACGAAGCACAACTGGATAAATATATAACTCATATGTGAATGTGTGGTAAATGTGCCCATCACACAAACACAAAAAAGGGGTGTTAATCAGTTAAATGAAATGAGATGTATATTGCAGTCTGCCACAGTGACTTTTTGGAAACAAAGATTTTCATATCGCACACAGTGGGTTTAATGTACTGAACATAAATGGCGTAGCAGTGTTAAAACAGACTTTTTGTGATTATATAAATTATACCGGCTGAGAAATTAAATATTTTCACCTCATGCAGCTGTCTGATACATTGCTGCACAAAGGATTTATCATGAAGAGGTCTGGTGTCTTTGATCTTCTCACTTCCTCCAAACCCTGACATGGTGCTGTTGCGAGGCATGCTGGCTCCACTAGTCCTGCAGTCAAAGTATTAACAAACCACAGCATCAAATATCAGTTTAGATTGGTATTGAAATTGAAAAAAAGTGTATGGGTTACAATGATATTACGCAGAATCACCTTTAAGTACGCTTTATATTCTCTTACTACTTCTGTAATTGTGCTGGTGCAATATGTGTTAAATTTAATGTATATACACTGTATGTTACCGGTCTTACAGCAGTTTGTACACTTCCACTATGTGAGGAACACAGTTTCTGAAATATTATTCACGTACCGGCCACCAAAGAAGCTGGTTCGTCTCTCAGAGGTCACAGACTGGGGTTTGGGTATGTTCAACTTTCCAAATGAAGGTTGTTTACTGCAAAGAAACAAAACTGTAAACAAACGGATGTGTTCCACTTGCCAACTCACAATCTCCCAGTACAAATCCATTCCTCATCTTTCTTCACCAATAATGTCTCTACATACAAACCACGGCAAAAACAGAATAAGTCTATGCAGCCTCTATTTAAAAAAAATGTGTTTGTGTGTTTGTTAGTTTTGTGTCCCAGTTTGTCTTTACACATGGAGGAAATCACATTAAATTACACCATTTTACAGTCTACAGTATAGTCAACACTGAGCTATCTCTGTGTCGTATTCTGGACAACCCTTTACTAGAAGCAGTCAGAGAGTGAAGTGTATGTTGCATGGGTGTGGTTAACAACATCAGGTAACACATATGAGCCGAATACAAGAGCGGACACACCGCACGGTTGTGGGAAAACAGTATAGCTGACTACGCACAATGTGTGAATGTATTCAGTTTCTTTGAGCTCCTTGAAACCAACCTCTGGGGCGTTGTATACACCATGCTCATCCTGTTGCTGTCTTGCACTCGCATTGGCAGCTCCGACGGTCTGCCTGTTACCCGACTCATCCTTCCACTGGACACGAGTTAGAGCGAAAAACAAACAAGATTGCGTTTGATTTAATAGCGTTATTGTAGTGTTCATAAGTGCCCTCCCCAAAAAAAACATAAACCTGCATTTTAGTGTAATGTTGGCAACGTAAAGTCTGTCAGTGTATGTGCATTAGCTTAGCTCGGATAGCTAATTAAATGACTAACGTAACTAGAGACAGCTAAAAAAAAACCTACTTAATCGTATTCTAGCTAAATAAATAAAAAATAATTTTCCAGTTGACGTTAACCGATTATTATCACGGTTGGTAACATCGTTTAAATGAACGATAGCTTGCGTATGCTAACTGTGGCTAACGTCAAATCACAATAAGCTCGACCGGCAAGTTACCAAAACCATAAACGTTACATTTAGTCAGAAGTGTAGTTTGATAGTTATCTATTATAAGTCATCCAATATAACTTCAACTGGTGTTTCTAGCCAGTTTCGGACGTACCGCTCCATTTCTCGTTAGGTGGAAAAGCCCAATGTTTACTAAATAAATCCGACAATCCGAGCGGATCCAGTTGAAAACCCCGCCAAAAGTACCGGACGGCGGTGACGTCATTAGAGTACGGCGAGCAACGGAGTCCAAAAAGGCTCCGCTACGCCGCTCTCTACAAACAATATGGCTTTAACGTCTCGCAAACTCATAAGAAACAATCATTGGAAAAGGAGATTATTACACTTTTGTTTCGCGTGTAAAATCTCTCATCTAGTATTTGTACTTTTGTACGGATCAGAACGGCTAAAGAGGGAAAAAATAGGTTAATTACTTCACCCACAATTAGAATATTTAAAATGCTGAAAAGTCCTCTGGCAACACAAAACAACCC